ACATAATGCTGAATGAATGAAAGATTGAAAATTCCCTGACCTTAAAATTAAAACTGACCAAGCAACATCAAAAGATTTATTGTGTGTGCATGTGGTTGTGGTGGAATTATAAAGTTACGAACTTCATCTAAACTAGAAGGCAAAATGTCAGATATCTCATTTTACACATTGCAAGGGGGATTTTATTGCCAGCTAAAAAATGCTCTGCTAACATTTAACCACATCGACATAATTTTATACTAAATTTTCTCCACTGGAAATATTCAGTTTATATTAACTGCTGGAAAACTGTCATTGTTTTATATCAGAACACTGTTTTGGTGCAAGTACTAATATGATGAAAATCACGTCCTTCGAAAACCAGCTTTTGAAAGGTTGAATGCAAGCTACATTTATGGGAGTCATTGAAGTGATCTGTGAAGAATGTGCATATTATTGTAGTTGAAGTGATGAAGTTGTAATCTATGTTGTTTGTTAATATATATTTTATTTTTCTAATAGACCAATAATGCCAGATGGATATTTAATTTTACAATGAAATTACAATAACACTGGCACATAAATCTTTAAAGACCAATGTGAAACAGAAACAGTTATCATAAATTCAAAATAAGGCTCTTGCTTTCTCTCAAAATATATAAATAAAATTTTTTAAAAAAATCTGAAAGTTTTCAGTTTTAAATTACATCCAAAGAGGTTTTCTTTCATGTTTTTGTGTGTTATCTTTATTTATTAAATATCAAGTTCTACATACTTAAACCATAAAATTGAGTTCAACAGCAATATCGCAAAATAATTTTAAAATGACCATATATTTAGAATTTCTGATACAGGTGTGTGTAGTTCGTAGATTCCTTCGCTGCATAGATTGCACAATTTGTAGTTTTTTTGGTGCCAAAATTAATTAGGGGCATTAACTGTAAATTTTGTAAAAACCATATTGCTGTGATAACATGGATTTCTTGTCAAAATATGGCAACACTGGTTATTCATAACTTTACGTTTTGGGGTACTTTTCCGTTTCGGCCGGCGCAAGATCTTCGCCAAGCAGACTTTATTGGTGACAACACACAGTATAGACATAAAAAAACGTTTAACAAATGTTAGTTTCTAAGAATTTTTTATTTTGAAGTGCATAAACATTTTAATATCATTTAAAATTTTGTAAAAAGCCAATAAATAAAGGACAATAAATTTGTAAAAAGACAATTTAAGAATTTACTATGATCTCATGGTTCAACCAAAGAATCTATAGGGAGAATCGACCCCTATACTATTCTTTCATGGTTACAACATCCTGATTCGCCGGTTCGTATAACGTGACCCCAAGTGATCACATCTCTCACGTAAACTACGCTACAAAAATCTAATTCTGTCAGTTAATTATCTACATTAATTTCAAGTTAAATCTTAAATTAATCTTTGGAATACAAGTTTAAATGCAAGAATGATTTTAATTCGTACACGAACAGCTTACTCAGAAATTATTGTGAAACCGCAGTGTTTTACTTCGCTGGTGCATTCTCATTAGAATTGATGAATTTAACCCTCGACTTTTCTATATTTTCGCCTTCGGGTGAGCGGTGTGATAGCATCCAAATTGACTTAATTACCACGAATGGCCTTAGGGCATAAAATTGGTAAAAATTCTATGTAATTGTATGCCAGTATTGAAAAAACAATCAATCTGATAAGAAATAGCTGCAACTTGTTTTGAAAATGAAGCGTAAAAGGTTATCAGCATAGATATTCCGTTTGGCATCAGTTGTATTATTACTGGCGACTTTATCGTTTGCTCCGGCAAAATGAAAAAGTATCTTTTTTTGCTATCTAAATTTTTTGTTTTTGTTTTGGATTTTTAGCTTAAATTGTGTGTTCAAAATGTGGATTTTGCATGTGTGAAAAACGCGTTTTTGGAGACATTTTAGGCTTAAAGTTCGAAATGTACAAAAAAAAACTTAGATAGTAATATGGCACTGTGGAGCTTCTCACCAAAAATATTTGGCAAGAAATTTGTTACCAAGCGAGGGCATACATAAGAGTAGTTCTGCAATATTTTTAGTGATTTTCTTACAGAGAGGGATTAAGAACTTCAACAAGAAAACATGACCCTCTTATCAGATAACTGTGCTACCCAAGCAACTGATCTCTCGCTGAAGAACATAAAATTACTTTTCCCCTCTTCCTAATGCAATTTTCATTCTGTTATAAAAGCATTTAAGGGTCATTACAGGAAGGAAGTGGTTCAAAATGTTATTAACGCGGCAGAAGGCGCGCTCCCAACACTGACGTTAGAGATCGCGCGAGGTGACAGCGTCACCCCAATCAGTTTCATTAGGAAAATGTGTTATATATTTTATAGAAATCATTTGATTATAAACAATAATTGCAATATTTCATTTAGAAACTATACTTCTTTACCTAAAAAACTTATTTTTCAACAAATTTATTTCTTTAACAATTTTTTTTCCGAGCTTCACGATTAGTCACATTGTCTAACCGTAGACACCTGAGAAGAAATTTAAATCTTTTATATGACATTGTGTTCCGTAAAATTGCAATGCCTGTTTCAATTTTCAGTAGCCCACAAATCTTGCGTATTTTTATGTGACGATTTATGCAAGCCGTACAGATGTAAAAGCCCCAAAAGAGCTCTAATTTCCACATCATTTGTCGTAACATTTTTCCAATATAAATATTTGTACACTCTACAATGGATTGTATCATTTTAGCATTGAAAAACAATTCTCAACTTTCTAGAAGCTTCTATATATTGCGTGCAGTTTCTTTTAATCCTGCTAAATGAGTTATTATAATTTGAGAAGACCTTTTTCACTTTTTGATTTGGTTTTCCATTCCACCAAACTCTTATTTTTACTAATAAAAATACTTTTTACTAAATCAGGATTTCCGTTGTCTTCATCATTCTGCTCAAATTCTCTTTCGCTGTTGTGAGAACTATATATTTCTTTATCAGATTCATTTTTACTATCTTGATCAATTTCTCCTTCAGAAGACTCAACTTCATCTAATACAGTTCTCAAACATTCAATCTCTTTTTCATGTTTGGTAAATTTACGTTTGTAAACCATTATCTTTCAAATAATCCAACAGAACCCCAACGGCAACACATGAGAGCACGAAGCTAAACTTCTACTAATGAAAAATTTCGAAGCAGTAACGGTCGCACGGGGTGACTCAGTCACCCCATTCCCTCATGGATTTTAAGAAACGATTGCTTCTCTCGCAGAAAAGAAGAACAAGCAAAAATAACAATATACATTCCAAGGGGAGTGTCAAACAGGAGGATACTAAAAGGATGATTCATTAAAATGAAATATTTCCAGTTAGGATTGTTGATTTTTGACGCACGGGGTGACTCTGTGCCCCACGCGACTTCTCCCGGGTTAATGAAATTGATATGACTGATGCAGTTTGTTTTCTAAGGAAATTGGTAAATCAATTTCTCTCTCATATGCCATGCATACTATTTTAAATGCATTGGATGAAGTAACTTTAAACAATTTCAAATTGTTTTAAAAAAGGCGGCTTCATTCCACACAAATTTCTGGAAACTCCCAAATATGCCAGAAGACAAGGATGACGATAAAGAAATGCATGATGGGTGGACCTTCCTCGAATATTTGGGAATCGATGAAAATATCCAGATTTGCTACGGAGAGTAATGCAGAAATCATCGAAGTTATCACAGAAAACAAAGAAATTAGTGAAAATGAAAGTGGGTCCAAAGATGAAAATTCTGATCCTGTACCAACAGCAGAGCCTTGACAAGCATAAAAAAATCTTGAGAACTCTCAAACTTAAAGGTGGATATACAGAAAGTACAAGCAATGTCACATCTTGGAGGCCACTGGTGAAAAGCTACTAACAAGAAAATAAGCAACAAACTCAAATGGATACATTTTAAAATAATGTTTAATATATATATACTGCATTGATCTGTGGAACATGTTGAAATAATTACAGACAACGGCTCTGCAACATTAAAAACTCATTTTAAATTGCAAGACTCTTTTTGAATTCTATGTTCAACATAAAAATATTTGGTCTATGTGAGAGTAAACACATAAAATTATTATTTTAATGTTTAGGTGTTTCATGCTCTTGGCAATGAAAAGTAATGCAGCATTAATTCATTTAAAGGCATTAAAACATTTCCAAATCATTTTTAAATAATGAGACCTTTCTATTTTTAACATTAGGATATTTGGTTTATGTGAATGTAGTCATGTAGATTGATTATGATATAATCCATGTGCTTGCAGGATTAAAACAATTTTGTGGGGATACTTCTAAGGCATTAAAACCTTTTCAAACTCTGTACTTAATATTAAAATACTTACTTTACTTGAGTTTCTTCATAAACTAATGGGTAGCTTTTTTCACATAAGCTAATATTGAAATTTTTTTCCTGAAGATGTAACTAAGATCATATTTAAATAAAAAAAATCTTATGTTCATTTCTTTTTATCCTTAACAGATGGCACTGTTTATATTTTGAATTTGAATGAATGCCCATGTCACAAGAAGTTCCATCATCTCTCAAAATGCATTAATTAATACATTGAAAACACATTAAATCAAAACAGTATTCTTACAGCTATTAAATAATTAATCAACTTTTCCAAATATCGAAGATCAAATAGCTTTGGATCATTATCAAATTTAGTACATGTTACCCCTCCTCAGGAACATTTTCATTACTATCTCACATGCATACTTAAGATGTAAATAAAGCAATACAAAATGTTTAGCATTGCTTACGGGCATTGAAATTTAGCCATATAAATCATTAGGAAAAATTCTTACTTTATGTTCCACAATTTTACATAAAACATTTAAATAATAAAAGTTTTCTTTTACTGCATTAGCAATTCATGGAAATACGGACATAGAATGGGTTTGCAAATAACGAAATAATTTTACATTTTATCAAAAATGCGCGGGAAATACTTTACAAAAATTTGGATATTACTCACTTGTTCGTGAAACTGCGTTTTGACTTTTTCGACTGTGAGGAACTTTTGTAATTCCTTATCAGCCATCATATCAGATGAATTATCAGCCATTCTCCTTAAGTTGGTATATTTCAAACTTTACAATACAAACTGAATTTTTAAATGATCTTCAAGGCCCTTGGTAAGCGTTTTTATGACCTGACAGACTGAAAGTATATCAAAAGATTATACATTAAATGTAATGAAAAATTTCACGAACTTACACAGAAAATCGGCTTTTTATTTTCCTTTCAGAAAAATTACAAAAGCACATTGTTGTTAGAAATCATAATTGTACAATGTCTTGAATTCCGCTTTTCACAATCAAAAGTATAAGATATAGGAAATATAAAGTATATATGTAGGAAAATACAAAGAAATAAACTGAAAAATAACAATTTACTTACCATAAACATGAACTTGTATCACGTTAACAACCTTCAAAAGCCGGGATGTTTATACTTCGTGCTCCAAACTGTCCTTGTTTGCAGGAATCTTCTCTGGTACGTGGTTTGGTTTTAATGTAAAGGGATAGGTCGTATTTATGAAAAAAGATCAGAGGTGCGAGACTAGTTTCCCTAATAACTCTAGCTTAAAACAACCTTCGTACAACTTCCTTGATTAATTTAAACATTCGCAACACATAGACTAGCGTAACTCATTGACTTTAGAAAAGAGTAAAGAAGTCCGGCCTCCATGCAAATTACGCACTATCTGCCCAGTAGGCAGAAAGACTTCATGTAAGATGTATTCGTTTGTTTAACTTTCATTTAACATCTGCTGTTTAAGTATGTCTAAATTAATAGCAGTTTTAAATTCGTTTTCATGTGCCATAAAAGGTGCTAGTTCTGCTTCCATGTTAACACCTGGTATGCTTTAATTTTATTTATTAGAGTTTTATGAGTTGTAACAGTGCTTTATTTGTTTTATGATTGTCATTGTATGTGATAAGAATGAAATATATTTGAGACATTTTAATCATAAATAATAAAAGTCAGAACGGTTACTTATATATTCGTCGAATAATTTTGCCTAGTAAATTAATTAAATTTTAATTTTTTTTTTAAATTGGTAACAGAAATAAAATTCTATCCATTACTAATCGTTGTTTTGGTTTTAATGTTGCTGAGATGTATAAAGGTCCATAAAATACACAGAAAATATGGTTATGTTGATTTTTATCATCGACATTACTATTTAACCTTTTTAAATATCTTGTAACGTAACTGTACACCGCTAAACTCATGGCCGATTAGCCGTTGACGAGCTTGGCGAGTAAATATGCTTCGCCGCCAACGGATCCTCTCCGGAAGAAAACCCTTAAATGGATCATCGATTCTGAATGGGAACGAAGGTTTCTCGAACCCGCAGTTTTCTTTGTCGGAAAATTTTACAAGTTTCCAGAAATGCGTTCTGTTGCTTTTTCAGTTATATATGTCTTATATCCAAAGGGCAATGTGAACAATTATTTAGTTTTCTTGAAGTACAAGTGTTTTTCAGGGTTCTGGGAAGCTGCATAAATTTAGGAACATTGGCTGTCTATCCATATTGTCCAGAGTTGAAAGGCTTTTTAACAACCTCCCTTCCCCCCCCCCAAAAAAAGAGGGTTGATCTTTACATTATGGTAACTTGGCGTTTTTTGGCAAAATTTGGCGACCAACTCTCCTACAGCAACCCTCTATTTTTTTTTCCTACTGCCATTTTGTCTTCATGAAGTAAAGACATGTTTCTTTTCTTTTTATCTACTGAACACTTCTTCCAACAATCTACTAGCCGAATTACATTACTTATGCTAGAAATTTTATCTAAACAAAAGTGCACAATACCATACTCCTTACGCGTTTTTTTTTCAAAATAACACATACACATAAACCATGTACACGCCGCCGACTTATTTTACTTAAAAAAAACATTCCAGAATTGCACAAAAATGGCATTGCTCACACTCTTCACTATATCCATGTACAACTGCTTTTTTCTCATAAATTAAAAAATTTCACGAAAATACATGACAATTTTCTGAATCTTTTTAAAAAAAAACCCGGTAAAAGAACATATATGAAATTACCTGATCGCGAAAAAGTATTTACCCTTTTCAAATATGAAACATTTCCACATATAAAATAAATAAAATATCCAAAAACCTCTAAATCATCTATTACATTATACACGTCACCAACGAATTCATACCGCAAGCATTACAAATACTTAGTATCAAAAATTTAAATTATTTCCATGCACGTTTACTTACTTCAACTTAAACGTGTACCAAATTCCTACAAACATAAAATTCACAAAATAACTATCATTTAATTAAAATATCACTAAAAACCATGTACACGTCGACTTATTTTTACTAACTAAAAAAACATCCCAGAATTGCACAAAAATGGCATTGCGCACACTCTTCACTATATCCATGTACACTGCTTTTTTCTCATAAATTAGAAAAATTTCACGAAAATACATGACAATTTTCTCAATCTTTAAACCCGGTAAAAAGAACATATATGAAATTACCTGATCGCGAAAAAGTATTTACCCCCTTTCCAAATATGAACATTTCCACATATAAAATAAATAAAATATCCAAAAACTTTTACCTCTAAATCATCTATTACATTATACACATCACCAACAAATTCATACCGCAACCATTACAAATACTTAGTGTCAGATATTTAAATTATTTCCATGCACGTTTACTTCAAACTAAAACGTATACCAAATTCCTACACAAACATAAAATTCACAAAATAACTATCATTTAATTAAAATATAATTAAATTCAAAAACACTACTTAAAATATAAATGAGCACATACATTAAATTAATACATACATAAATACCCATTTCGAATTCACTTTAGTTTTTTACGGCCATGGGATCCAAAAATTCACGACAACACTGTTTCACACAACACAGAATAAAGCCAAATACAAAACTTCCAGATTTTTTCCCGATTTCCCCCCCTTTTCCGATTAAAGAACCGTAATTCGTCCATTAATATCACATGACATATCCCATGATCTCTCATTTCCCTCACACAAAATAATGCGTAATCGGAACTGAGTACTGCTCACATTATTACCAAAGTCTCAGGTAGTAACCTTTATCGCCTCCAAAAGGTCGCCAAACTACCAGTTACCATATTGTAAAGATCAACCAAAAAGAGATTAATGTTATATTTATATATTTGTAATTAAAATTAAGGTGATTTTTTTCTTATGCACCTACCATGCAGCTTTTTTTTTTTTTTTTTTTTTTTTCATTATATGCAATTTCTAGTTATAATAGTTTCTACAACCATACACCTGAGGATAGCCCAAATGGCACAGTTCTTGAATCTCAGCATGTGTTCAGCTTCTGTTTCACAAGTGCCAAAAAGTGTGTCAGGTGCATAATGGAAAGGTCTCAAAATTGATACGTTTAAAATAGAAATTTAAATACAAAATTAGTATATTTAAAATGAATTTCCATGTATTACTGTGATAAATTTTTTTAAACCTCCTTAAAAGTTATAATGCATTTTAAATTAAGGTTAATTCTTTTCTCTGTTTTATAATAAATAGCCCAGTTGATCAAAATGCTTCACCTGCCATATTAGGGATTAATGGAATGGTATATAAATAATTTGGTACATGCACAGTGCTATAGTTAATGTAACCTTAATGGCAACTAAAGGGGGTACTTACGGAAAATCCCGTCAACCACAAGAGATGCCAAACCAAAAAAAAAGAAAGTAAGAAAAGTGGAATAAATTACTAAATACAATAAAAAATGTTCTATTCTTATTTTTTTTTTTCAAATTTATTATGTTATCATTTATTTATATTTAATTTTTCATTAAAAATTTTCATTATTTTTTATTAAGGAGATATACTGTAAAAGCAATTATTTGGTAAAAGTTTACAATTGGGTGCCTCTTGTTTTTTAGCGATTCTTTTTTGATGCCAAGATCAGCACTAGGAAGACACAATTTCAAGATGGCCGCTGCACAAAATCAAAATAAGAAGTCGAAGAATTGCACAAACTCTGCGTCCATGTACACATCGATCTGTTTTCACTTAAAAAAACATCCCAGAATTGCACAAACTAGGCATTGCGCACTACTTTATATTTGTCCATGTACACATCAATCTATTTTTATTTAAAAAAATCAGGAGGCTAAAGCAAAGTTAAACTATCATGGTAACCAGAAATGAGATTTCATCGCCAAAATTTTACAAAAAATTGTGGCTAATCTAAGGGGCACCCAATTCTACACTAGAGCCAATTATTTTTGCTAGGCGCCATTTTGTGGCCATTAACACATTTTTTTTAGGCTGGTAAGATTCCATAACTTTGGAAATACTATTGGGGAAAGTGCAGAATCGCCCACTAATTGGCGCATTTTTAAGAATTGCACAAACTCTCTATCCATGTACACATCAATCTATTTTCACTTAAAAAAATCCTAGAATTGCACAAAAATGGCACTGCGCACTCCCTTGACTTATAATCCATGTACACATCGACATATTTTCACTTAAAAAGTCAAAGAAAATTGACAAAAATCCAATTTTCCCTACTCTTGTAAAAAACGCCAAACAAATGAGTAGGCGATTCTGCACTTCGCCAGAAATATTCAACATCATGGCTCTTCTGTAGTAGGCAGGCCCGAAATTTTAATAATTTTTTTTCTTCAAAAATGTGTGATAGAGGGGGGAAAAAAGGAGTCTTTAGTCAAGAATAATAACTAGCATGTGTAATCAAGGTTACACCAAATCCAGCGTGTTTGAAGAAGACTTTTTCATTTTTGGCGAAAAATCGCATAGTTTCGCGTCTTTTTGTTAATAGGCAAAAATGGTCAACAGCATTTTCTGTAAGTACCCTAAAGGGTTGGTTTGGTATTTTAGCGAACACTGAGAGTTGCTCAGGAGGGGCAGGTAGTTATAAAACCATGCAGATAAGGGGTCACATGAGAGCCTTGCAGTTGCTGGAGAGAGTGAATTTGCTTACAGCCGAAAACATCGCGGCAAAAAAATCGTGGGCGAAAACATCGTGGTACAAAATATCGTCGTCAAAAATAAAGCGGTTCAAAAACTTCGCAGTTTAAAAACATCGTCGTCGAAAATATCGCGGTAAAAAATAAAGTATCTACAAATCATCGCATGACGATAACATCGCAGACATGATTTTTAGATTTTTTTAGATTATACTTTTCATGAAAAATTACCAGTAAAAACTTTAAAAAAGTAATTTATTAATGACCTTCGTTAGTTAACTATGTCAGTTTAAAATTCTGTTAAATGCTATAAGTTGCATTAATTTTCTATGCTTAAGTTGCCTACTTACTTTATTAGGAAAAATGTATTAGTTAATAAAAAATATGAAAGTAAAAATTATCCTTCTTTCCATCTTGTGCTCACAAATCATTATAGGAATATCCATTTACAATTATTAAAGCCTGAAAAAAAGCATGTCTGTGATGTTATCGTCATGCGATGATTTGTAGATACTTTATTTTTTACCACAATATTTTTGACGACGATGTTTGTAAACTGCGAAGTTTTTAAACCGCTTTAT